TAGTCCCACATGGCTTGCATAAGAAGCTGCTTCATGTGGGGTGTTCCACTGGTATTTATAATGGCAGTCAGACTGCACCTCTTTTAAGACAAACAGACTTTACAGTAGCTTTTATTCAATCTCTCAGGTTGGCTGTTCCCTCAAGAATAACCTGTTGAATGCCTGGATCATGTATCTGTGATTGTTTCATAGTGAGCTGTGGGTCCTGTATCAACCCATATGTATTCCTCCACTCTGCAGCACTCAAAACCAAAGATACCACCCCTAAATTAGTCACTCTGTGAACTCCCAGAAGGCACAAAGGACTTGCCTGAATACTGTATTATAAGACTTGACCAAGCATTAGCCTGGCTACCACCTACACCAGGCCTTGTCCCTGAAGGTGACACTAGCCCCTGTGTTGAGTCTTTGCTCAAGGAAATGCAATGTACATTACCCCAACCCACACTGCCAAACCCTTTTCAGTAATTTTCCACTTACCGCCATTTGTATTTTTCCACTTTCCCACAGCCCCCCAGTCCCTTTTTTTGTTCCTGCTTTTTCACTTCCCCATAGCCCCCTTTTTTTCCCTCTCTGTTCTATCTTTAAAAATCAGTCACCTCTATCTTAGTTGGAGTTGTGCTCAGTTTTTACAGTTTAAGTTTATACTAAAATCTATCTTGCCACTTTTAACAAATGTCTGGTGCTGGTGTTTCTCTTTGACAGTTCTATGGTTGGGTTGAAAACACCACTGAACCTTGGACGTGACAATTGGATGTCCCAGCACAAGCCACAAGACCTTTTGTCTCCAGTGTGCTTGCCCATTTGAGTATCTATCTGGTGGTGAGTCTGACTTTTGATTCAGTAATTCAGAAGCTCAGTGAGAGAGGTTTTGATTCTTTCATGTCATAGGATTCCTTGTTAAGTACCTTAGTTTAAGAATATGTAAGGTATCTTTACTAAGACTGTGGGAGCTACACCTGCAGACTGTATGCCACTAAAACAGTCTGCTTTGTTTCTGGCTGTCAAAAATTTATACTAAAGACTACTGAATTGCAGTGGCTCCTTAGGGATCCTGGGTCATTCCCAAACTAGTCCACCTGAAAGGAGCCCGGGAACAAGAGGCTGCAAAAATGTCAAATACACAATGTTCCTGTACTTAGTCTGGTATGAGGAAGCCCAGAAATGGCTCAATCTCCAGCTCCTCTGACTTCCCCTGAGGAAGACTGAAAGTTCTAACTCTGTAATCACTGAGTTGGATACTCAGGTGACTAGCTCCCAACCTGAAGCTATCCAGGGGCCTCACCAGTAGTCACTTCATTAGCAGAAGTTCAGGTATGGTTGTCAAGAACTCGTGAATAACAAAAGACAATCATCACTCAAGAAATGCTGAGGATTTTATAAGTTCTGTTGTGCCAAGAAGCAGGGACAAAGACCCAATATATTTATTATACCACAGGTGGTGATAGTTTGTTTGAAGGTGGTAGCAGTGCAGAAGTAGATAAGTGAATGGATTCCAAATGTATTTTAGGGTGGGGGCAAAAGGACTTTCTGACTGGTTGGATGGGGGAAGGAGCATTGTGGGAACTAGAGGAAACAAGAATCACTACCCAAAGTGGAAACAGCCCCTATGTTCATCAACACAGAAAAATGGAAAAAATAAATTATGGTACAGTCATACAATGAATACTAGAAAAATTAAGTAAACAAAAAATAGACTACTGGTATAATACATGGATGAATCTCCAAAATATCATGCTGAGTGAAATAAACAAAACACAGAAGAGTTCATTCTATATAATTCCATTTATATAAAGTTTAGAACAGGCAAAAGTAATGTATGGTTGATGTGAGTTAGAACAGCAGGTACGTCTGGGAGGAAGGTATTGTTTTGAAAGGGGCACAAGAGAATGCTCTGGGGTGAAGAAGAATGTTATAGATCTGGACTGGGTCATGATTACATGGATATACACATATGTAATAATCAAGCACTAAACTTCAGATATTATGAGTTAATTTATAAACTTAGTGTTTATAAGTTAGCACTCAATAAAAATATTACAAGTAATCACTCAGAATAAAAATAGAAGGCATAACTTATTTCATAGTAAAAAAAGGAATAAAGACAAATCATTTGCTGCATGAAAAGGCAAGAAAAATGGAATAAAAAGTGGCAAGAAAGTCATGGTTAATTGAAAGCACACAAATTGGCAGGAAGAAATCTGAAAAGTACTGAAATCTGTAAGTATCAGACCAAACAGACTAAAGTATAAAACGTTATTATGAATAATGAGGATCATTACATGATAAAAGGCACTCACCGGAAAAACACAGCAATTCTCAATTTTTATATATCTCATAATATAACCTTGAATTACGGGGAACAGAAATGAACATAAAAACAAAAAGAAATTGACAAATCCACAATTATGGGAAATTTTAAAACAGTTCTTAATGACTATCAATTTTATCAACAAAGAAAAAAATTAAGTTGGGATAAGGAAGATTTGAACATCACAAAATATAGAAAGAATTTTGCCCGAACATTTAGTGAATACACTTTATGCTCAGCATATATGGAACATTAAACACACACACATACACACACACACACACACACACATTCACAGGCACATGCACTCACCACATTAGGTCTCAAAGCAAGTCTCAACAAAAAACAAAGAATGGATATAATATAGAGCATGTTAAAAAATAAACAAAATGTCCATATGTTTGAAAAATTACAAACATACTTCTTTATTATTCATGGGTCAAGGAAGAAGTAGTGAAAATTAGAAAATGGTAAGAAACGAACAATGAAAACCATGTATCACAGCTCAGGACATTCTGTTAACCAGTACATAGAGAGTTAAGTTTTAACCTTAGATCCAAAAGGTAGAAACAACAGTTTTTAAAACTCTTAATTGCTAAGTGTCCTGTCTAAAAATTAGAACAAAAATAATACAAACTGTAAATCCAAAGAATGTAGAAATAAGAAAATAAAGACAATAGTACCAAATCAAATCAAAACACAGGATCAGCAAAGCTAAAAGAGCTGTTTCTTTTTAAATGACCAGTAAGGTAAAAGAAACTAAAAACAAACAAACAAACAAAAAAACCCCCAAAAAACAACTTCTAGCAAGACTGGCCACATAAAAGAAAGAAAACAAAACAGGGCACAGCTATGGACAAAATAAATTGGATCAGCAAAGCTAAAAGAGCTGTTTCTTTTTAAATGACCAGTAAGGTAAAAGAAACTAAAAGCAAACAAACAAACAAAAAAACCCCCAAAAAACAACCAAAAAACAACTTCTAGCAAGACTGGCCACATAAAAGAAAGAAAACAAAACAGGGCACAGCTATGGACAAAATAAATTTGAAAATGTAAACAAAAATGTTTAACTTCTTAGAAAAGTATATATTACAAAAACCAAGAAGAAATTTTTAAAAATCTGGATAGACTGAAAAATAAAAAATATTTAATCACTAGTTAGTTAAAATATACTCAAAACACCAGCCCAGATGGTCTTTTAGGCAAAATTGGGAAAGAAATATATAAGTGAATACCCTTTGTTCTCAGAAATTTAAAATTTCTAAATAAAATATGAACAAACACAATTCATCAATTTTAAGAAAATGAATAAATCCCAAACAGGTAGGTTAATCTTAGAAATACAATAATGTTTTAATAATAAAAACCTATTATTGTAATTCATCACAATGCATTTAACTTTAACTTCCATTCATGCATGCTAAAATATCTTAAAACCTTAAAAGTGTCCCGGTTAGAGTAGCAAAACATCATAAAAATGACTGCTTTCACTAACTATTTCAGCTTTTTATAGCTACTGCAATAAACCAATATAACACACATATATATACATATTATAGGTACACACATATAGACTTTTCATGACTAAAGTTAGCTTTTCTTTTTAACAGCGTTTAGGAAATCTATACCACTTTTTGAACAAACAGCCCCCAAATGCACTAATAAGTATAGTTTATGAGTCTTAGATTTTATTTCTTAGATATTATTTCAAGCAAAGATATGCTAATTTACATTTCACACATTTCCATTTAGAGAATATCTAAGAAACAAATCTGAATCGTGTGACTTGTTCAGAGGAGCTCAGAAAGTTTTGCTTGGCTGAGGTGTGCTTCCTCTTCCGAGCAGGGGTGGTCTTCGGTTTGCTATGAACGCTCAAGTGCTACCTTGACTGGTGTCCAAGTGCTACTTTGACGAGTGTGCAAGTGCTCTCATGTTTTGCCTTTATTTTGTCCTAGAGATGACTTTCTGTGCTATACCATTATTTCAAAGGGCAGTTTGAATACTACAGAACTATGAACCCTTAGAAGGTTGAAAAATTGAAGAAAATGGTGCAAAATGAAAAAAATAGTGCGTCCAAAGAATGACTCCTTCTCCTTCCTATTCTACCAACCATTCCCCACCAACCAAGCCCACAATCGATTCTTCCTTTTCTTTGGCAAGTGCCGAAAAATATCTTATTTTGAGTGAATTTTACGTATAAACCGCATTTTCAACTTTTAAGTTATTATTTCATTTTTCAATTAATAATTTGTTATGGTTTGGGTACCTTGGATCTGAATGCATTATAATTCTTCTCATTAAGAGAAATGGAAACAGAGTTTTTCCACCTAACGGCTTTTCATTGAGCGGCCGCCCAATGAATTAAAGATGTTAAGCCGGGGTCAGACGAATAGTAGAGATGAATAGCCCAGGAAGCGGCCTCAAACCGCCGACCTCCCTGCAGCGGGCTGACCTCTAGAGACAACAACCAATCACAGTTAGTAGGAGCCCTGCCCGGCTGCGAAACCAGACCCAGGCGGTACAAACCGGAGCGTTCCGCCTGCGCAGCGGGGGGCCGTGACTGCGGTTCCGGGGCTTGGCGACGACGCGCCGCCCGACCGGTAGGAGCCGCCCTCGGCGAGCGGGCTCGAAGTCGCGACGGGTGCCGCCCCTTCGCCTCCCACCGTCACTGACCACTCAACCGGCAGACATGGTTGAGGCGGATCGCCCGGGGAAGCTTTTCATTGGGGGGCTCAACCTCGAAACCGACGAGAAATCTCTCGAGGCCGCATTTGGCAAATATGGCCGCATCATCGAGGTGCTTCTGATGAAAGACCGAGAAACTGCCAAGTCGAGGGGCTTCGCGTTCGTCACCTTCGAAAACCCCTCAGACGCCAAGGCCGCCATTCGAGACATGAACGGCAAGTCCCTGGATGGTAAGGCCATCAAAGTGGCCCAGGCCACCAAACCGGCGTTCGAAAGCAGCCGACGGGGCCCGCCGTCGCTCTCCCGCAGCCGCGGTCGCCCGAGGGGCCTGCGCGGGGCCCGCGGGGGCG